CTTTCTCGCGTACACCCCCATTACCAGTTTGAGGTTAGCTTCGACCACTGCATGAAGCAGTTGACGCATGCGATGACACGACTCACACGACGTATACTAATTAGTGCGTGAGCGTCTATAAGTGAGTCACAAATGCTTTCTAGAATACGTCAAAATATTCAACAAATTGTATTATTGGATAATATTTTATCAAATACCTAAGACTTTCCAGGTCTGTCATTTTATTTTTTTTTTTAATTTACCTCTCAGTATGAGTTTTTTTTTGTCAATACATCGAGTGGCTTGTTTTTTACAGAGACGTAAGTGGCAGTTTGTGACGCTAACTATTTTTTCCGGTCATCTTTTGACCAGCAACTCATGGATCGTATAGGTATGCTTTTTAGCTAGGATGATGTTGAGACGAATAAGCTAATCAAAGCTTTATTAGACGATTGAGCTACTGTAATTCTGAATTCAAAAAATCAAAGAAAATACGAATAAATAGCAGTAGCATTAGTTCTTCTTTAACTTGCGCAGCAGTTGTTTGTTCCAGCTTTTTTGCTGATAACAAGACTAGTTTCAAAATAAAAACTAAATGCTTAAATTGTACTAAGTAGATGTCAACTTATAATACCCAAAATTTTCTAGTCATTGACAGTCTTGTCTTTTATAATAGTAAAAACTTGGAGCACTATTATTTTAAACAAGGAGGGCTAACAATTTCTCGAAATGATTATTGACATACTTTTCAGTAAGTTGATCCGTGCACGATGTAAATAGCTATTAAAATATCTCGTAAGTGAATTGGATCCTAATTAATACGAGAAAAAAAACTTGTTGATTTACTAAGAAGCATGTACTTTAGAAAATAATCTTAATAAAAAAATTAAAGCATATTTTGATGAAGAATCTACAAAGACAGAAGCTCATAAAAACACCTATGATAATAATAAAAATGTGCAAAAAACAATTTTAGATAATACTTTGACATGTGCAAATAAAGTTTGAAAAGTGAGCTTATTATGTTACATTTAGATATCAATTTCGACGTTCTATTCCTCTCTAGAGGCAACATCTTGTTAAAAAAAATCACATAGTGACCATGAATTTGCTGACTTGTATCATAGTAAAGTAAATAGACTATGAGACAATAACTATTCTGAAAGAAAGCTTAATGAACCAATAAACACACAAATGCAATATCTACAGAACGTTACTATATTCTGAGGTGATTTAATTGAACGGCAAAACGTTCACATGTATTCAAATAATAAATAAGGGCTCCATACTTACCTTTTGACTCATTCTACTTAAATTAATGACGTATAAAGTAAGAGAGAGGTCCAAAAAAAAGTCAAGAAAATTAGTATTTTGTGAGCGTTAAAAGAATCTAAGGAGAATTTAAGAATAATATAATTAAACCAAAAAACCTAGCAAAGGCAAAAAACTCTGGATTTTTATTTAATGCAATCTTTGGATAAGCTTACTTTAAATACTTATTTTTGCATGATAGATCAGGAATTGTGTAGATAGTCATTTTAACAAAAAGACAACTTTTGGTATTAATTATGTTTATTTTTTATTTATTACATAGCCCGAAAAAAAGCCAAATTTTAAGTGACACAAGCTCTAAAGATCTTTTTTTTCATATGTATATTCTACTGCCATTCCTAAAAACTGTGCCCAACAGGCTATGTAATGCTTTGTTACAGTACGTATACATGCCATCGTCATTGGCATAAATAAGAATCACCTCAGATTCATTTGTGATACTTATTACTACAACAGCAAAGGCAACTTTACTTCACATGGCTTTTAAATCATCAAACCATACTTGAAATACACACATAAGAAAATGGATTCTCAGAGGTGTAAGCAAAAAAGACAGAGACTAGAACCCGATGAACCTGCGTTACCAAGTACGTTGAACTGTGAGAATTGGAGCCTTAATCACGGCTCTACCGTGTCCTTGAAAGATTTTTATTTTGAAGTGGAAATCTTAGAATGTCTTTTATTATGGCTAAGAGTTTTGGAACTTTTTTAAAAGAAACGTCAATTTCACGCTTGGAAGTTTAATTAGCCTTGATAGCTGTTTCAATCACTAAAATTATCAGAAATGAACACTACATTGAAATATTACGACGTGTTATTTAGTCAGATACTAGAACAGTTGTATATGGGATTTCAGAGAATTCTTCTGAATATAAAATATTGTTGGTAAACTAATTATGTGGAATTCTTTAAAAAACAAATAAATACAAATTACAATAGGTACCCACATAAGAAAATTTCTGTGACGACGGAACTTGTTATACTGCAGATTCATTAAGTAGGTTTGGAAGATGGCTTTAAGTACCGAATTTTTTAAATGAAAATTTGTTGGCCTATCAAGAATTCTTTAAAAAGACAGTCAGAGAATAGTCGAGCCAAATAAATCATTATCAAAATCGTTGAAAAACTATTATTTCCAATAATTTTGAATTTAATAGAAAAATTATTTTTCGCACCAAAACATTTAATTATAATATAGCAGAATTACGCAAGATTGGCTTATTATTTAAGTATATTCTTACACATGGTATTAGTTATTTTAGACTCATATGAGTAAAAGTCAAAAGATAAATAGAAAAAAGATATGGAGCTTTATTGACTTGTATGAGTACCAGAGCAAATTGTTTCAGAATATCGAACAGTCTTTCCACTGATTCTTGGATGGTGGCCTTGAATGGCTTTATTACACAAAAAGATAGACCTTTTATTATATATTGTTACAATGAAACTAATTTCAGAGAAATAAGCAAAGAGTTAGTACAACTTTTTTAATAATTTGACTCTAAAAAGTTGCAAGAATTTTCTACATGTAAAGTTATTAAAAGAAATTAATCTGCCAAATGCTCCACATACGTGACAGATTAAAAGTGACAAATTCAATTTGTAAAAATGTTTCTTCTATTAATTTTAAAAGAGTAATAAGCAAACGAGGAGGTCTTATATACTACTATTTATTCTGAAATTAAATATTGTGTAAGCTCACGTATATTGATCCATGTATCTTCAGACCCACGAGAAAATGAGGCTCTTACACGTTATCATTTTTTTTATTAGAGCATCATAAGGTAAAATTATTTTTGAACGATAAAGTGCTCAAATTTCATGTTCAAACAAACAAATGCTAATAGCGTAATTTTATGTAAAATACCTCTGAAGCAGATGAATAAAAATGTATCATCTATTACCGATTCCATGTAAAAAAGCTCATAGAATGAAATCCCTCAATAAAAGAAGAGTTAATCCTAATCTTGGAGGATAATTTACCATCTGATCAGTAGTAAAAGAGAGTAAATGATCGTGAGATTTCTGGTTATAGTTTCCAATTTCAGATAGTGGAAGTAAAACTGCCAGTGTATTGTTGTGTTGTAGCAGGAGAAGGATGTTTATTATAAATTAAAAGTTAATTCATCATCAGTTAGTCACTAACAGAAAAGACTCATTTTGTTTTTTTTCATAACAAGCTAAAATATTAATTAATACTGTAAGTAGAGTGTTGCTATCAAACAGGCTTTTAGGCTTAATAATATAATAATTTGATAATAATTCGAGCTATACAAAGTCCCTTTTTTTTGTCATGAATCGATAAAACTACCAGAAATCTAAAGTATTGCGAGACAACAATGCAATTTTAGTTTCATAAGTAACGCTTTTTTTTGTTTAGTGGCTGGATTAAAAAATCATGAGGATGGATTTTTTCGCTTGATTACGTATTAATAAGTCAAGTTATAAAATCTTACTGTATTAAAAATAAATTAAAAATTATTTTTCAATAAGAGTTATGATGTTCACAAGAGTGATAATACAAAAAATAATGAAAACAATTATCTTTGCACAAAGATCATAACTATAAGTAAGCTTTCTTTAGTGCATTTGTATGATTTCACTTTTGAATATTATTTTTTAACGCCAACGCAAAATTTTAAGCTTGTGTGTACTTATTTTTATATCAATATTCATGCACTTAGTTCATTTATGCCAAGACATTTGTATCTTAACATAAAAGTACTAAATAGTACTATTAAAACAACATTGTATGTTAGGTTTAATGACGCGAAAAAATTGTTACTCTATGTATTGCTGCTTGAACACAAGTGCAATTTAAAACACTACATTGAATACTGGACACTTCTTCTATAAAATACACAAATTCAATTTAAATGAAAAATATGTTTCAGCATGAAGACTTGATTGAAAAGTATGTCCTACACATAGAATATAATGTTAAATCTGACGGATACCAACATAATGGTTAACTTCATCATTTTAAAGTTATTGGAAAATTAAACCTAAATTTTAAGAAACTGAAAATAATTAAAGTTTGAGTTTTTCTTCTAGATCAAAAAATCTATTTTGGCCTCTTTTACCGTTTTCGGGGTTTTTTTTTTAATTCCTAAGTATTTAAAAGTAGTAAAATTTGATGAACATATATCAAATAAGCGACAAGGAATTTTTTTGTGCTACTACTCATTTTCTGAAGTTTCAATGGATTCTCAGTTAATTCTATCACACTTTACTTTGCTACTAGCGAGCCTAACGTAATTAATCTTGTAAACCCGTCATATTCTCTGCTTGCAGCAATATTAATTATTCTAATTATTTTCTATACATACGCACTCTATGTTCAATGCTATTTTTATTCTTTGTTTCGCTTGAAATTAATAATGAAAATGTTTTTTTGGTGGCAAAGGAAAAAAAATGGTTCAGTAGTTTTTGTCATTAGGTATATTTTCTTAGCAAAAATCCCGCTTTCTCTTTCTTAACACAAATGTGTATGAATATTTTTTTGTTTGATAGTTTTCATGTTAAAAAGTTTTAAGATCTATAGCTAAGGGTGTGTGACAAAACACATTAAGAATATCCAAGTATTGTTATTTTTATACGGGCATAATTTATTGTCTATTGTACGGCTCTTATACAATTAAAAATAACATAAATTAAAAAAGAAGATTTATACATTATTTTGATTTCAGATCCAATTCATCACCTGAACCAAGTAGTGTTCAAAATGATGGAACTGTCAACAATTCAGGTAAGAAATAATAATTTTACGAAAAAAAATAATAAAGAAAGGCTTCTACGAAATAAAAAGAAAATTTTAATATGTATTTTAATGTTAATTGATGAGTTCGTTACTTGATTCTATCCCATCGTCATTG